AAAGAGAGCACTATCCAAGATAAGGGAGGAATTAGAAGTTGTGGATAACTAGAACTCTTCCACAAAGGAAGAGTAGAATTAGAACTCTAGTTATTTCTTATTCTACTCTATAAATTGCAGGATATTCTCATTCTACAGGTATGCACAAAAGCTAAAGATTAAACGTGAGTTGAGAGAAAAATAGCAAGGCATTTTGCAAACAATTCTTGTGTGATTCAAGTTTGCGAACCTGAAGCTACATGAACCAAATAGAAGAACCAGTTCCAACCGTCTGTCTTTTATTCTAGTTCAATTATTGTAGGTGTTTTCAAATTGTATCTTTCAACTTTATCTAGAAGCAATTATATTAGGTACTCTAAGTATTCAAGATTGAGATAACTTGAAGTTATTGCAACAGTTAGAGGTTGGTTGCCACAATGGGATTAGAGTTAATCCTTAGGTTTACAAAGAGTTTTGTAAATGCTGTTTTGGCTCATTGATTTAGTGAAGTATCGGGGAAAATCCTACTGAGTAGTAGGTCGGGGTTTTTTCACCTTTTGAGCCGGGTGTTTTTCACGTAAAAATACTTGTGTTCTTTACTTTCCACATTTACTATTTCTGTAACAGTAGTATAAGGAACACTTAGAAGAATCAGGTCCTTCTATAATCAGTGCACGCGAAAATTGGACACCACACAAATCACCGCCTCTTGTATGGCATTGAAGTATAAAACATCATTGACACAAGTAAATTAGGAACTTCTTTTATTACAAATATAATGACATATAGTACATATATATCATATTCTCCTTTCAACCGAAACAAACTAATTGATAAAAATATAAGCATTCTAGAGAATTACAATACGTGTTTTCTCTTTTATTCCATTTTCTTTTTGTTTTTGCTTTTCAAGTTTTCATATTGTAATGGGATCAACTAGCACCTCATAGATGATATCTCTCAAGTCATTTTTGGAAACAGTATAAGAATCTTCATCTTTGTATGAGAACTCCGACATCCTAGCAAGGTTGAGCACTGGCATGAGCAAAACCCTAGGTACAACTCTACGTTTTAGGCATTCTCGATTCAAATCCTTCCAACTATTATCCACTATTTTCCTAATCTCCACGTATGCTTTTTCCTTCGTGACGCCATATGCATTCATGTAACATTCGACACCTGATATATCTCCTCCTTCTTGCTCTCTCTGCATATCCATAAGAGCGACAAGCATTAGACAAAAAATGGTATGAACCCGTAATTTTAGTCTAAACTTATTTGTGCAAAAACCATTAGAATTGCTGAAAATATTGAAGTGTGACCCCATAATTCAAACAAGCGGTTGAAACCTAAGTCTGCACCCACAAAATTGAAATTTCTGGATCTATCTCTTAAGGCCTTGATCAACTATATATTAAGCTTGCACAATAACTTATATTGAACTCATAATTACGACAAGGAATAAGCGTAGTATTTGTTGAACTAAAAACTACAAAACTTATTTCGTAATTATAATATACCTCATGTGATACAATATCATTTGATAATCTAGCAATGATAGAAGAAGCAACCAAAATTAGAGGTTCACTTGCAAGCCAGTCGTGTGCCTCCTTCGTTGCTTCATTTCCAATGCCTAACCAAGAGAGAGTCGCAAGACATGGGATAGTGCTAGATCGAATTCCATTTTTCACATACTGTTCCATTGTTGGGACGTTATTTCCATGATACCATTTAGCCTCTTGAAAATATGCATTTATCAACTTTTTCATCTGAAAGAATATAATTAAGAGCACAGACTCGTGAATTCTCATAAAANCATTTGGCCTATTGAAAATATGCATTTATCAACTTTTTCATATGAAAGAATATAATTAAGAGCACAGACTCGTGAATTCTCATAAAAAATTTAATTCGGTAGATTATCTAAATAACTATTTGCTACAAATTAATTTACCTCAGCTATGGAATATTTAACTTGAAATGAGTTGTTTTCCTTTGCCAACTCTTTCTCAATTTCAACGTAAACATCTAGAAGAGCTAGGTAATAAAGCTTCATATATGACGGTAACTGTTCTGAAACATCGTGCGAGTAAATAGAAATGAAGCATAACACTTAGGTGTTCATGCTGTTTCTTTTCCCATTCATTGGCTCCCTGTGCGAGTAAATAAAGAGTATGACTTTTTTTCATATCTTTGTGCTCTAAATTATTTATTGTTGAGACAGAATTATGTAAATAAAAGTGTTTACTCTAACAACAGTTCAAACTATTAGACGAGATGGTTACAAACTTCAATATGGTATCAGAACAGTCAGAGATCGTGAGTTCATCTCACTGACACTCAATATCGGAAAATAAATTATGTGCTTGACCCATGAAAAAGAATTAAATCCGCAAGTGGGGGACATGTTGCGACACAATTAAATAAATAAAAACATGTTATTTCTAACAATTTAAAATTTTAGATGAGATGGTCACACACTTCGACATTTACAAACGGATGGATCAATAGAATTACTTCAACTGAAAATAAATGAACAAAGGCATCGCTAGTAGTGTGTTAAAAACAAGAAGAATATGCAAAACAAAAAAAGAAAAAAAGTAAAGAAACGAGGTTCTTAAAATACATATTTACCGAGAGATGAGCATAGGCAAGAAAATGGTCTCCCCAAACAGTAGGATGGTGATTGCCATAGCGCCATGTAACCTCTGGCACAACAAGTTTGAGGACACACTGGATATATTAGCTACTTCTCTAGCATTACCATCCATTTTTTCTCTAGCGAACCAGGTAAATTTTGTCTTTTCTTGTTTTCTGAAATTTATTATTTTTTCTCTTTTAAATATTTTTCTCTTCCATTGACACGATTCCCAACAGATCCTTCTTTTAGAATACTATGTATGTATCTATCTATCTATCTATATTTATACTATTAAAAGCACAAAGTCTCTTAACGAAATATGGTTCGTCTTTTTTATCCTTTACAAGTACATTTTAAGTTGCATAAAATTGTAAATATAACTAAAGTTTATTTTTTACAAAATGATAAAAAGGAGAGAACAAGTGGGAAACTTTTTCTTCAATTAATATCCCTAACGAACAGTGATTGATGTTGGCTTAAAGGGAAAAAAGAATAGAAAACTTATTACTATTTAATACCAACATTAAAGTGAGATCAAAATTGCGTAGGTTCAAAAGGAAAAAAAAGGAAGAAGAGAGAATAATAAGGAAACTACTATTTAATATCCTTATTAAAGAGCATTAAAAAAAGTAGTTAATTTGCATTATTTTGCTTTGTCATTGTTGAAATTAAAGTTGTAAATAGTTGTACATTTCTGTATTTATGTAGTACGCTTCTAGAAGGTAGTTAGTTAAGAAGTTAGTTGTGTTAATTAGGATAAATAGGTGATGTACAACTCATTTTCAGTCTACGGCAGCTAACAAAAAAATTGCTTCTCATTTCTCTGTCTCTCTCTATCATCTCTTCTCCTCTTTCTCGCTCAAACTCACCAACGGCGAAAGGTAGGGCTAGATTTCAACATAGTATCAGAGCCATGATTTTTCGCGACCGAGCAACGAGCATTTCATCCGATCAATTTCCTACGTTTTTCCCTTGGTTCACCTGCTCATTGATCTCTACTTCTCTTCGTCTTCGATTTTCCCAAATCTGATTTTTTTCTGTCAATGCTCTACTCAAATGACGCTTGATTCACCTCAAATTACAGTTGAATCTTCACATGCAATCATTCAGCAGATCGATTGTAATGATCCACTGTATATCCATCCCTCAGACACACCAGGGACCTCACTTGTTCCTCAAATGCTAATTAAAACTGAAAATTACTCATTATAGAGACGATCTATGGAGGTGTCGCTCCTTGTGAAAAATAAACTCATATTTGTTAATGGAACCTGCACTAGAGAGCAGTAAGAGAAGAATGTCTTCCAACTGCGGTAGTGGGATCGCTGTAATGCCATAGTGCAGTCGTGGATTCAAAGTTGTGTGGCTAAGGAACTCAGAAAAGGAATTGTGTACTCTTCACATGCACAGAAGGTTTGGAAGGCACGTAAAGATCATTTTGACAAAGTTAATGCTACTAAAGTGTACCATATGAATAGGGAAATCAGTTGCCTAACACATGGCATTTCTAATGTATTAGTTTATTTCTCTAACCTCAATGACCTCTAGGATGAGTTTGAGTTAATAATACCTGAGCCATGTGACAGTGAGCAGTATTTTAAAAGGTGTGGGCCTAAGGCAAGGCGTTTTACATATGCCTCAGCGAGGCGTAAGCCCCGAAGGACGGGGCGTAAGCCTCATATGTATTTAATTTTTAATATTTTATAAAATAATATAATTACAGTAAATATTTATAAACAGGTAAAATTACATAAAAATTGAAAAAAATTATAAATATGTGAATATATATAGATGTGCTCCATACCCACAAAAACTAGTCAAAATAATCTATTATACGATACTTAGAAGCAAAAGTAACTTGAGTCGAAAAGAATAAAGTTTTCTACATGGAGGAACAAAAAGGATGACTAACTTGCAGTTTGAACTTTGAACTTGTTGCTATGAAGGAGAATGAAGTTCTCTTTGTATTTGTACAAAAACAAATTGAATATTTGTTACTTTTAGGAGATATTAGCAGACTAGCGGACAAGATAAAAATTTGGGAAAGACCATGATTTAGGGCTTCAATCAATAAAAAAGATCTTGACTTTTAAATTTAATACATTTCAATTCCTTTTTAAAACTTTTGAGTAATTACCAAGCTGAATTTTGACAATTTGGGTATTATATGAAGGACTTATTCAACAAATTTTATTTTAATTTGAAAACGTCTCTGGGGCTTATGCCTCAAATGCCCGGGTGTACGCCCCGAATTGCTGGGCTTATTCCTCGAAACTTTTGCCCCACACCATCGCCTCAGGGCGTTTTCGGTGCTCCTCGCTGTAATGACCCGACCGGTCGTTTTGAGCATTTACGCTCCTTTCAACTATTTGAAGTCTTGAATAACTTCCTATGAGATATTATGACTTGTGTGAATTATCGGTTTTGGTTTTAAGGTATTTCGGAGTTAGCTTGGAAGGATGAATTTTCATGTTGGAAGCTTAAGTCGAAATAGTTGACCGGATATTGACTTATGAGTAAACGACATCGGAATTGAATTTTGATGATTCCAATAGCTTCATATGGTAATTTCCGACTTAGGAGCGTGTCCAGAAAATTATTTGGAAGTTCGTAGTGGAATTAGACTTGAAATGCCGAAAATTTAATTTTGGGATGTTTGACCAGGGGGTTGACTTTTTGATATCGAGGTCGAAATCTAATTCTGGAAATTGAAATACCTCTCTTATGTCATTTATGACTTGTGTGCAAAATTTGATGTCAATCGGACGTGATTTGATAGGTTCCG